ATTATTTCCGTTACCGTTACTATTATAAATTTGTTTGATTTAGCTCTATTTCTTTGTATACTGACTCCGTAAAACCCTGCAATTCCATTATTTATCGATAGCAAACACATTAAGTTCGGACACGGTAGCCTAACCCGCCGGCTGTACGAACATCATTTGCCAAAGTATATTTTGATTTTAATTGAACTGGATATTATTATTATATACATTACGCAACTTTTTTTTAAAAACTAGTCATGTTTTTCAATAAAATTATCGTATTTTCAAAAATGCTATAGCCGCCAAAGCCCGAAATCGAGATCATTTTTTTTATCCAAAATAATAAAAATAAGAGCTGTAAGGCGAGCTTTTTAAACGTATACAACGATAGTTATTAGCGATAAATTATGAAAGAGACTCCGAACATACCAGGTATAAATATGCACGCAAAACTCAACGTGCGCTCCGTTGGCTATGTGCTCACGTGTTGTGCATCCTGTGTTGTATGCAATAAAATCTGTACAAAGCAAATTTCTATTTTAGATATCAAAAAAACGAAAAAATAAAAAAATTTTAAAAAAATGTCAAAAAAGCAGCATATGCTTTATTTCTTACATGTACACACGCTTGTACACGTGTGATTACATATTTCGCGCTTGCACACGAACTTAACAGTGACGAAACTCTTGCTGCTGCTCCCCAGTCATCAAGCGCTATGTTAGGGATATCTAGTAAAAAAAAAAATTAACCATTTTGTTACGAAATGTCACAGAAAAACTCACTGGTTCCAGCTGGCATCTTTTTAGAGCCGCGCTTCTTTCTAGCGAATGTAGAACAATCGAGACAGGGGACATGTTCATGTGAACCCACACTTCTTCTCTGGGGTTCGGCGCATGATGAACGATCTGCCTTAAGAACTATGCGGATCAAACGAAAGTGGTATCTAGCGGTAAGTGCCACTTAATATACGAAAGGTGTCTTCTGCCGTGTGACGAGCGATAGGAGGTGGACGCCATGGTGGTTCCATTAACCGGTGTTATACCTTGAGTATCAACCGGAATAATCGACACGACACGGGAACTGCTATCGAAACTATGCTCAATGCAGGCATCAAAGAAGACAAGCTAAGTAGAGGTATAAATAGATAGCTTATTGCCTATCAGTGAAAATCCTTATCAAAGTTCACTCTTGATAAACAAGGTTTACCAACGTTCTCCTCTCAGAGTTCGGCGTAATTGCCGGCTCCTAATTGTAAGACCTAATTGTAAGTGTAAACTAAGAGTAACTGCCCTAAGTGACTGCGAAATTTTCAACGGCTTCTTAGGCATAAAATCACACCGGCGGAATGCATCAAATCAGATATCGATTATATGCTTCTGTAAATTAGCCATATTAAACCTGTCCGGTAATATATTATGGACGTAATTCGACAAGACTACACTTGCACGGCAGTGAAAAATCACTGGAAACAGCGACAGTGATGATGGGGTTGTAGATTGTGGGTTTCCCAGGGATTCTAGCTATATATCCCCGAGTGCCCTGACTGTGTTACACCTCCGGGCGTTTCTTCTCTGATAACACTACGAACTCTCTTATATTAACATAGTTACAATTAGATCTTAATCAGCGATCTATGAACGTACTGATGTAGAGAAGTCGGCGCTTTATATCCAACAAATCTATACATAAATAATTTTACTATATTTATTCCTGATCTTCACCGTGGCAAGTTCGACGTTTATTGACGAAAGTAATGTGTGGTTTCCAAAATCGAACAATGTTACGTCACTCGAATTCAAAATTCTAAATCAAGCAGGTTTAAAAGATTTTTCTCTCTTAAAGTTGGTTTTCCGTACTGACACAGGCGTTGACGTGCTATTTAAAATTCCACCATTATTCTGAGCAAGTAGAAACTTTTTACAGTAAGCCTTGCTCAAAGAAGCATGAATATCAGCTTTGATACTTAATAACGCCCTCCGCACCCTGCTGCCTGGTCGAAGGTCCGTATTCTTTGAACGTCGCTGCTTGATTATTCCGTTCATGTAACCTTTGCCCCTTCCTTCCAGGCGAGCTTGATTTTCACTGAAAGCTTTGACCCCCATATGAATTCGTGGTTCAGATGTTTCCTCTGATTTTTTGAGTCTTGTTGTATTTTTCGGCCACCCGAAAGGAGTTACTTCTCTAGTACTTCGCGAGAAATTTCTTCTAACATGATTATAGGATCTAAGGTGAGGGAAAAGATGGCCAAAAGGTTCAACCGGAATAACCATTAGAACGAGCATAAACAAAACGAACGAGCAAACAAAACATTGTTTGCTCGACTAATGGATAATGGATCAATGAATATATAATAAAATCAATAAGTGTTTCAAAACAATATGTATTTTGTGAAACCATTACCTTTGTGCGCAGCTCAAAGTGCGTCCATACGCATAGTCAAAGAGGCTCAGTTAGTCTATCACCCCCTAGATGCTGTTACAGGATTAGTTGACGTAGTCTAGTAAGGCTTCAAAATGCAGACGTATTCAATTTTGTAAAACTTGTACATAAATAACTATTTCTCGGCCGAATGTTCATGAGAATTTGACGACAAAAAACAAGTCAATCTTCTCCAGATAACTTACTATAGATACCAGTTAATACCGTACTATACTAGTTTTGAAGCCCCAAGCGTGTCGGTGCTATTTTCGACGTGTACGAGAGCAGTAGCCTCTCAGTTATAAAGAAAAAAAAACAATCTAGATTTTTGAGTCGTCATGCTTCACAAAGGAATATTCTTAGCACAGTTTACCGTATTATCGGCTAATCGGCAGGAAGCGTATAACTACATCCAAACTGGAAATTCTATAGATAGGGCCGGTCGCTATATGTTTACAGATCCCTTTTCCGATAGGACAAATATTTCGATGGCCCTGCCGGGCCGCACGAGCCTTCGTTTGTTTTCCGTGTGAAATTTCAATTCGGTGCGCTGAGCAAACATTCGCTGTTAGTCTGACGTTGCGAACGCAAGGTTTACGGTCGAACATGGCGGATCAGGACAATTCTTTGATACTGAACCACTATTGCCGAAGAATTTTGTCTGGCCACCTGATTCACGATTAACAATAAGTAGTAAATTTGAGGTTCATTGAACTAAATAAACATAGCCAACGAACGATTCCCATCTATATGCTCGTACGTGTGTATAGTAACGTTTAGGCTCGCTATGATCGATTGTTGTGCACAATAAAATGATTTGTGAGTTTCCGGCCATTAGGAAACGATACGTACTGTCGTATTACTTTAACGTTTGAATGTAAATATAAAAAGATTGTACTAGTAGTATTGCTTTGTTGTGTTACATACAGATATAGAAAGCTTTGCAATTCAAGACATTTGAGTAATCCATAGTGGGTTGAGATGGGTTTAATTAGTAAACAGCGGTTTCGGACTCGAGAGAACCTTCGAGATTAAATATTTCTATACGCACGTAAATAACCACACGATTATAACCACAAATTCAACGACGGAATGGGTCGATATAATTTAAGCTTTTAACTGACTCTATCTTTCCATAAACAAGATAATTTTCCATATGCAATTTAACTCTTAGGTTCATCTTTTTCATGTGTACACCTCGTCTACGACAGGCCTCTGCTACGGTAGTGTGAAACATCTAATTTCACTGAAATTACTTGTTTTAATAAAATAGCGTGACTACATGGGAAGTCGACATTTACGTCCGGCTTGTTAGACACTTGCCAAACCTGGCCAGTTGAATGATATTTTTTACAAATGGTCTCCAAAAACCTGCTAGCTAACCCCGGTTTTGGTGCCCGAGGTGCCTTGGGCAAAGTAATTTGACTTGAATGGCACACGTTAATTTATCATATTTTCCCACTGACATGATCGTCTTCAGTGTCCAGTGTAGTTGATTGTAAGTGGTTTTATCAATTGTGGCCTAGTAAGGCTAGATCGTTCCATTTAGATATTGAAGACGTTAACTGCCGATAAACTCTATATGAGCGTCATGTCTTCATTCCCCAGACTTTTTCTACCTTCTATGCCCCTCCAATTCGATTTCGTTCTTGTTGCAGCAGCAAACAAAAATGGCAAAATGCAGATGCTTCAATAATATTTTCGTTCCATCGATATATACACTCGGTCATTCAAGACGAAAAATCACACTTGTAGAACAATAGGTACACACAATTATGTACATTTATGTATATTTATATTAATAATAATAATAGTGGTGATGGTAGAACATTGGAACCACCGCAAGGATGGCAAAGGGAGCCTTCTGGGTCTCGAGCGAAGCCCGGATGAGGTAGCTAGCGGACGACGACGGGTCGGTCATCCTATACGTGGCCTACTAGCTAACCTGTCTATATCAAAATGGCCACCAACCATGCCCATTGGGTACGATCAGACCGACACCATTACGGCCCGTTAACCCGCAAAATAGTGGTAGTAGTGGTACGAAAGATTGGCCTGCTGGACGTAGCGCGGGAAAAAGGTACGATTCGTTTGGATTCGGGGTCACAGCCGGAGGCGTAGGATAGGGCCAGCCAGGGAAAAGGAAGGCACAGTGAGCGTACGAGGAAAAAAAGGAGCAACAGCTGAGAGTTTGGTGGGCAAAGAGCATCAGTCTGTATCAAACTAGCCTACGACGATATAGACGCCCTTACCGGGGGCTGGATATGCGTTTGTCTGTGTAGGCATGCGCTCATGTGTGTATATTTGTGTATATACATGTACATGCACCAGCGTAAACCGAAAGCGTACGGAAGTCGTAAACATGCTGCTGCCGCCCCGTCTATAAAATGGCGATCGTTTCATAGACGCGGCAGGCAATGATGTTGCTATTGCTAATGAAAGTACGCAGCATCAAAGGGCTCTTGCAAAGAGATAGTCGGTAGCGCCCGCTGTTAGCCATCTTGGTCATGATCGTCTGGTGCACACCAAAGTCATAACCTGGCGAAGGCAGCAGTTGCCTACCTCTGACGATTTCTTTTTATTGGTTTGGCGTACTGACCAACCTTTAGACCGCCTGTCGCTGTTAGCTGTTAGTCGGTGGTAGAAAACAGGAATGGGTAACTGGTATGAAACAATAAACCCACTTGAGGCAAACAGGCAACCGGACATGGTAGAAGTTAAGAACAAGTGACATACGTTGATGCTATGTGGATGCTGGTGAATGCTTTACACGTTAGTGCACCTGTGAAAAGTTCAAATTGTATGTATAAAAATAGCGTTATTAACCTGTATAAATTCTTATAAAGATATTTACATTTTAAATCTGAGTAACTAAGATGTAAAAGTTTTACATTCACCTAGATAACAGTACATAGGTTAGGGCTTAGAGACAGTATGTGAACAGCAACTATGTCTATCGGATATATATGGTGGACGTATGTGGTGGAAGCGCCGACCCTTTCGTAGTAAATAGCATAATGCGATTACTAACGCTACTAGTCAAAATTCTTGAACAAATCAAAATACATGCCTGCTCTGCTATTTCTGGTAGTCTATTGTGGACGTGTTAACGATGATGAATAGAACTTGTTTTACACAAGTGGCAGCCGCTTCATCAGAAGGCTCTTGGATACGGCGGTGGGCGGAAACCATGTGCAAATGGCGACTGCTCAGATGTTTCTTCGAGAGGCGTATGTAAACAAAACATGAACTACGCTACTTGACCTTTTGTTGTTGGCTTGTCCAACAGCGCGAGGAGATGTCTGCAATGAAAGAACATGTTCAAGCTGCTTTATAAGAGACGGCAACGTGCTTGCCCAGCTTATTAGTACACAGATGGGCATAGGTACACTTCTCGTGTCTGCATTACGGGACAGAGCCAAATTTAAAAGTTAACAATGGGCCTTCGTACTACAATACCCCGTATTCGGTACTAGAAATGCATCGTTATACTATAATGTTCGATGAAGGACGATGTGTTTCAAGTCAGCTTTGTTCCTCATAACGAGTTAGGTGAAATCACTTTTGGCTGGGAGTGGTTTTAGGCATTCGTATGCGACCCTCTTAATGATCACAGGGATGGTTTTATCCATAATATAACCGTTGGTACAGTGAACGCAGACAGTTGCTAACGATCCATTAGAAAATTCTATTGGCTACCCAGAATGACTCGTACGTTACCCGATATTCATCCGATAGGTATTTGTCGTGCGTAACACACCGAAATGATACTCAGATGTGATTAGAGGAAACGATCATTAGCTATATTATTCAAAAGCAAAAGAACCGAAACACCCCTTTTTCTACCTAACTATCGTACACGCTATGCATAGGTTTTGCATGAGAAGACTTTAGATCAACGTTACCGACCGTGACATTTCGAGCTAGGAAAGCCATTCTCGTACTGATCGACAGCACGCTATTTTCAGGAACAGTACGTTTTCTCCTATCCGAATTGCGGCCATCGTGAAGGAAAGGTTATAGCGCGAAAAGGTACTTATTTCAACGGTCTACCTCAGACCTATTCGTTAACGTTCGAAATTCTGAAATTGTGTTATTATCTCCGACTCCAATTAGAGCGTCAGCATCACTCCAGTTCCATGTTAATGTTTTCTGAAGTTACAAAGAACCAAAATGTAGATGCGCCTAAAGAACCTTCGTGTGTTCCGACAAATATACTATCTAGTCACATAGTACTTCTACCCGTCGTACTTAGCCAACTTCTTCTGGTTTTTTTTTTCATTACGGATCACGTTATTCTTATTACAGCGTATTTCCGTGTATGGAACGACAGTGGAGATATATTGGACTAAATTTACTCAACACCCATAGACCACTATAGTCTAACGAACGCTAAGAAAAATACATAACTGACCTGAATAAGTTCATTTTTTGAAATCTAAAGAGAAAAAAATCAGTAACTTTCACTGCAGCAAACTTGCAGACCGTGTGCGTTTCAGAAATATGAAAAGTTTGACCGTATTTCTTTAGTACGAGCGCTTTGAAGAAATACAAAATGTCTTACATCGTAGCGTGCGCATATAATATCATTATGGTAATGCTCGCTTAAATTATATCTCACAATGGCAGCAAAGCTGGTACAAAGGCAATCTATAATCTTATCCGATTCGACAACGTACGTTATACGATCATACAGGCCTCCCCAAGCTTGGATTATTTCAAGGGCCTATTGATAGAATGTTAAAATGCAAATGTCTACCTAACAACTTGAATATTTGTAAATGGAACCAGGACACTTCCTGATGATATCTCTTACTCCAATGAATTCAGATGAAATCTATGTTCGCTTGCTTAGTAATTGCAGAGTAATTTGCGTTCCTTTGAACGATTCGAATGGTGCACCCTTAATTCCTCCACTGAGACACGCCACCGTCTTTTTTTTCTTTAGCTTCAATATATTCTCATTTGAGCGCGTTGTATGGCACTGTTTTACATTTGCCATTACGTCCCACGGGCGTTCCAAGTCAGTATTGTAGAACTTCACACATCGACAGTATTAGTTCGCTCATGTAGCTGCACAAAAAAACGTCGTACTGTGATTAAACAGTTTTCTAGGAGAACTCTTCATAGGTCACACCGTTTCGTAAAATATAGAGGACGATGAGGATCTTCACATGAGTTTTTTTTCATAAGACCCAGATAATAAAAAAAAAAACCTAATTTGTTTAGATCTTTTTAAAACAAGTTCTAGTTTGATTGGGCTGAATAACCAGAAATGGATCCTTATGATGCGAACATTTTGTTCGACTGTTTGTTCATAGCTGCATTGAAATGGCTCGACTTGAAGCCAATTGCACGTCTATTGCGCACAGAGGTGATGATACCTCTCATAATCGAGCATTGCAAACGAGCGAACAGAGGATTAGCCAGAAGGATTGCTGGGGTAGGACATACGCAAGTTGTTTCATCACAAACATCCTACAGATTTTTCGTCGAGTTGCGCCGTCGTACAGGAACTGCGCTTCAGGAGTTAGCAAAATAGTCAGACATCGATCGATCTGTCCACAGGCATGCGAGCTATCGCTAGGTCTCAAGAGTTCCACGAACGAACCTCCTTCGTTTTGAAAACGAACAAGAAATGCTGCATCGCAATATTCATGGGCCCATTTAGAAGCTGCCGTTTGAGCATCTGCGATGAAGTAAAAACAACTACACCGTGTTTATAACCTATGTGTATATCATTTTTATTATATTATTACTCCGGAAACTACTCATGTACGTACATGAACAGCATACCTCTACTCGTCACGATATGAGAAAATGGCAGAATGTAATAAGTTGAACATATTATTTGGAACAGTTTGACGAACGGCACCTAGTGATCAATATGTATATCGGGTTCGTGTGATAGGACCAACTGATTTCTTCATATTCTATCATCGAGCGGTTCAGGATCTGTGCCTAGTTGGTTAATGTCAGTTATCAGAAAAAGCATTAGTTTTTTGTGTGCATATTACGCCGAACCTCCCAGAGAGTACTTTAACATTTTGTATGAATAGCAACAGCGTATGAGGGGATTTGTTAAATGAATCTGTCAATGTACTGTGATTCACTGTGTGATTCAGACAGTCATCTTTTAATATCGTTCTCACTATTACCCTCCTCCAGGCAACACAGTTCGTGCTGGACTATTTGAATTGCATGGAAGCCGAACAAACGCAACCTGTGCACAAAAAATGTAGATTAAAACATAGGGTTATTTGGTATTTTTTTACCCAGGTATTACTATTCGAGTTCTTTACAGTCACAGACATAACCTGAATGTTTGCAACCTATTCGCACATCGTCGTTAAACAACAACCTCACCTGCGCTTCCTACGAGAATCTAAAGTATTTTTACGTGAGAGGAAATATTCCGTTAAGACCACACGTAATAATATTATGCCACACGCCGTTATGTTACAGTATGAAAAGCTTTTATTGAATTTTTATCGATGTTACAGATGCGGGCTTAGAAAACTCCGTCGGAGACATAGTGTGGCCTAAAATTGCTGTTAGCCTATCTTGTACTACGTCTATCAGGTGCATCATAATATCGTTAGTGAGAATACGGCAGGGTGGCTAGGAAATTACCAGCAAAACAAGTGTCGATTGGGGACTTTACGACTAACGAGAAAATCACGAAAAAGGCGGAGAGGAGAATTGTGGTGTTTTATCTAATTTTTATTCCAAGTAACGAAATAGAGTAAAAATAGGTGGTAGTAATAATGCAATCATACACAGGTCGCTATGGCCAGCCGTTCAATGGCACGGTTAATGGCAGTACCGGCCGTAACAGTCGAAACACATCGGTAGTAGCATTACTAGTGCTATATTAAATAAAACCCGTTATGGATTTTGTTTCGGCATTGAAATGAGATTCTTCAGAAACTTTCCATTATACAACTGTCCTATTCTGCGATCGGCAAAATATGCCCCTAGACAGATAAAGATATCGTTTAGCCACTCAAGTATTCATATTTAGCTTTAAAACATATGGTACACGGAAAAGGTTGGACGTATTTCTATATCAAGTATTTTCAGTACTTCTGTGAGATCTGAGCGGTGCACAGCTGTTATAAACTGCAACGACCGTGCGGCCATATGGTATTCTGATTAGAAAAGGCATCAACCCGTGATGCGACAGTGAATACTAATGCATTGTTATTACACTACAATTCTTCTCGGATCAACGTATCTACTGTGTAAAAACTACTATGCTTCGTTACGTCGTACGTCAAACAGAGCCAAAGTTAACTATTTATAGTGCCTTAAACGAGTCGGGCTGCTCGTTTCGAGGCTGATTGCAATGACGACCGACCAGCCTATCCAGCGAAATAGTTTGCTATATTGGCGTAAAAATTACAATCTTTCCATTGTTACTAATACGGAAATAGATGATTTCCTGTACGTCAATGAGTAATTCGAAATGGAAATGGGCGACAAATACAAACCACATAGAGCAGAAACGACGAATATTGTTTCTGCAATATGCTAAAGCTAAATGTTTATCGGATTCACATAGAAGTTTTTCACATAGAGCGCAAGTAAGTTTTGTTACTTACATAGTTTTCTATTGGTTTTAAACACAAGCAGAAGATACTCTGTGGCGGCAGCGGCTAGTGGAGAAAAAACAGTAGTACAGGTACCGGTCGATACGCTGGACTGATTCGTACATAGTTCGCAATCGATAGAAGTACTCATGATAGAGCGGGTCACAAGGTGTCAAGGGCTC